TTAGTAGTAGTAGTAGTAGTAGTAGTAGTAGTAGTAGTAGTAGTAGTAGTAGTAGTAGTAGTAGTAGTAGTAGTAGTAGTAGTAGTAGTAGTAAGATTATATTATTGTTTTCATTTCTTTATTATTTCTATTCTAGGTCCTACATAATATTATTGTTCCCTTTTGTTTTTAAGGTATAGTGTAGATCTAAGATTGTCCAAGAAGCCAAGAATATTCCCGAAGTACATAAAAACAAGCGCTTCACGAATCAAGAGTTACAGATAGCATTCATTCCAATTTTCCAACCCTTGACCCCACAAAAACTCTCCTCTGACGTCAGTAACGTTTTTCTCAATGAATCGATTGCGAAAGATTTCGTCCCCGCGACGCACCGCTGCGTCCGGTGAAGAGAGGAAAAAGGCTACCCCCCTTCCTGGCCGCCTAACTGTAACGCAGACCACCTGTAACAATAATTATTGGTAATCGTTTCTTCTATACTAACTTTTGCCTCACGTAGTCCCTCCGGTTCAAGGGATTTGGGAAAGGGTTTGTACTCATCGAACTTATGCTGGGAAAACATTGTCCGTTTAGTAGAGTTTCCAATAAGATAACCTTCACCAAACTGTGCGCTTGGCCATGTCCCTCAAGCGCCGCTGAGAAAAACAGCTTACTTAACCTTGTTTCCCATATTTGGGACGATAGGCTCCGCCTCCTTACCCATGACGACAGAGCTATTCTTAGCAGCAGCTCGCGTGAAGCGACGAGTTTCATTCATAACGACCGGCTTGTAGTAAACGCGTACAATAGCTGACCCGACCGCGCATGCGCAGCGAGAGAGGTTACGAGAAAAAAGAGAGTGCGCAGGCGTGAGAGACTTGGGTCAAATCGAGGCGACGAGGATTATTATCGAGTTGGTGAATTAACCTCCGTCAGTGCAAACCCGAACACCGCGCGAGGCGCACACAGTCGAGTGTCAGAAGCAAGAGAGAGACGAAACGAACAAGTGGGCTTATTCTGATTCGCTACTCGTGAGACTTACACAGCAGAAGTAGGACACGCGTAGGAAGTTTACTTTCAGTTTGAAATAGTTTGATATTCTCAACGTGCTTGGAAGTCGTGAAAAACCTGTATCTTCATCGTGGTATGGCTCAAGTTTTACCTCCGAATATTCCATCTTTACCTACGGAGAGGATCGAAGATCAAATTGTCCCAGATACGGATGATTTGTTTTTCGAGCCTTTACCGGAGCAACAAGTGCAAAATGTAAGTTTTTGTTTTTTGCTTTGAACCCAATTATGCATGATGGTGGAGTTTCAGTGCCAACGATAGAATGTAGATTCTAGATCTAGTATAGATCTAGATCTAGATTAGAGATAGAATGTAGAGATCTAAGCTTGAATTGATATTATTATTCTCTCTGCTTTAGAGAAACAGACATCTTATTGATCTTGTGATTATCACCCCCTACCTAAAACTAAATCTGTTTGTTTATATTGCACTTCACTTAGAAATCTAATTTGTGTCAAATGTTTGATAAGTTCTACATTTCATTTCAAATGATAAATGTTCTTAGGCTGGCATTTTATGAATTTAGATTAGTTCGTCGAGTTAATCATGTTTATTGTAAATCTAGATCTAGAATCTAGATCTAGAATCTAGAAATTTAGATTAGAAGTATAGAAGCTTCGATTTTATTGTGTAACAGAAATAATCATGCAGGCCTATAGATCTAGAATCTAGATATTAGATCTAGACTCTAGTATTGAATTCTGTTTGATTTTGCGACCATTTTGTAGAATTACAGAGGTTATCACATGTCTTTAGATTTAAAATCAGGTAGCCGGTAGCCCTAGCCTCTGTTTAACAACGTCCCCCTTGCCTTTGAAACAGAACACGAGGTTCCCATTCGCCCGTTATTTTGGGTGGTCTGAATTGTTATTTATACATGATTTAAGTTTCTTTCAGTTAGAAAAAAAACGTTCTAATTTCAAGGACAGTGGGTAAAAGGGGTTTGGGGATGTATAGCACTCATACCGTGTAGAGGTCAACCTAAATACGTTTAATTGACGAAGTGAATTAGATTCTCTATGTGTAACGTGTACGTCTATAATGTTGTGAAGTACTCCAGTAATTCTACTTTGAACTTCCTATTGGCTTGGGTGGCCAGTGGACGGTTGATCAAGCTGATCGGGAAAATGGATTATACAAATCTGATTATTGTCTTAATGTCTTAAGAACTTGACAATGGTCCAATGCAAGGACGCAGTAGATCTATACATTGTTATGTTAGACATTGTTAATGCTTCAGTCCATTCATTCATAGGTTTGGTTCTATATTTTCATTTTGCTTGTAGCCCTTGTAGACAACCAACCCGCAGGAACTCTAGTACTTTCTATGTTTGTGTGCCTGTCCGTCCTTCTGTCTTTCTGCCAAGGCATCTCTCTCTCTCTCTCTCTCTCTCTCTCTCTCTCTCTCTCTCTCTCTCTCT